GGCATGACGGGTGGAGTGTTTGTTCGCCGTCATCTGGTTGGCATGCACTTGCCGGTCGCTACGTCGTACTCCACTACAGGTTCTGATTCGTGTGGAAAGGGTGTGACTACTGCACGTAGTCCCGGTCTGGTATTTGGTCGGGGTGGCGACGGATCCATGAGTAAGAGAGGGAGCTCTTGTTACATTCCCTCAGGTCGCCGCCATCCACGGATTCATGCAACATCTTTGCTCAATGGCGATGCCTGTCTTTGGTGGATGGGTTGAAGTACGTAAGCCCAGCTCTTCGCAGCATTCTTCTAGTCCAGCCCAGCCTACGTTGTAGGCGCTGGGTACGGTATGCTGCCTGAGCCGCCGGAGAGCTGGACTCCCCTAGTTTGCCAAGGAGGAACACGGTGATGCTGGGGTTGCCGGTCAGTATAGAAGAACACCGAGACCGCCATCGGCAGCTGCAGCGTGGGAGTCGGGCACCGGTGTGTCCTCAAGGAGCCTGAGCCAAGATCTTATGGCCTTCCATCAAGACGGTGGTTCCTTCCTCATATAGACTGGTAATATAGGCTACGAACCCTGGTGGTAGGCTGGCTTGTTGATGAGAGCTCTATGGGAGATGGTGTCGAACGCCTTGGAGATGCCCAAGGTGACCACATGAAGCTCTCGCAAACGTGTCCTTGCTGTCCAAATAAGGGCGTCGATGACGGCGGTATTCTCGGCACAACCATCAGTCGAGATAACTTTGGCAGACGTCGAATATGGGGAGGTTCTTCAGTCGCGGTGCAGGTGGCGAACCGCTACAAAGGCGATGGAGATGGGTCTGTAGTTACCTGCGGACTCCGGTTGATCCTCCTTCGGAAGAAACACCGTCCGCGTGACGAGGGGCTCGGCAGGGAACGCCCCTGCGGCCATGACGGTGTTACATAGGAGGCATCTGACGGGGGAGGGGATAGCAAACCAACGCAAAGATGTGAATGCATCCAGACCAGGTGAGGAGGAAGATGGGATCTTGATGTTCTGGACCTCCTCACAGGAGATCGGGTCCCAAATGCTTGCGAACTGTGGGTTCTGGGTGGCACCAGAACGGCCGACGTATGGGGACGAGTTCAGCCTGAACACGTCGGACCAGAACGGATGTTGCTCGTCCAGAACCTCATGGGCCGCTCTCGATCGATTCCTCTTTCATAGAGTCTCCTCCTTCTCCTTGCGGTCATCCTACCTTCAATGGCAGCTGGGTGCATAGCGGTCTAAGAAAGTGCTCCACGGGTCGCAGGGCGGGTGGAGCATATGGCGCGACGGAACCATAAGATGATTTCATCCGTCGGGTCATCTCCTCTTAGCAATCCCTCGGCAGCGACGATGAGCACGTCCACTTGGTACTCGGGGAAGGGACGTGCCTCAGGAATTAGCTTGCGAATATCCATTCCCAAAGGACTCCGAGGGGATGCCGCCGGCGCTGTGTGACGACCTTGGGCCCATGGTACAGTGGATGGTGCGATGTATCTGGCCGCAGGTTTACGCCTCGGCGCTTCCTCTATGACGATGTTTGGGGCTGCTCGAAGATCGACAGTCCTCCTGTAGTCGGGGCGCCACCTGACGCCTTTGATGGATTCCTGGATCCTACCTGGAATCATCTCCAGGAATTGGATGTTCATGTGGACCACGCGCCGAAGGGTAGTCTCTGCTTCAGCTCTTGTAATAAGACGTAGTTCTTTGTCACTTCATCGAACCTTCTTCTCCGCAACTTCTATCTCCGTGTTGACGACCTCGGGGTGCTTCGCTCTCCGGTGGACTCCAAGACCCTTAGAGCTTGTGAAGGATCGGTCACATTGGGGGCATGGAAAACCATCGGGAGGCGGCTGTTCAACCGTGGGGGGGGGGTGTTGGATGGAGCAGTGGCCTCGGTTGTTTCAACAGAACCGGCGTGCAGTGGCGGACGCCGGCTTATGCCTCCTCTTCTTGTGGTTGGAACTGCTCGAAACGATGAGGACTGCAAACCCCAGTGCCCCTGTCCTCAGTCGAAGTTGTGACTCCCTGCCCGTAGGTCGGTCGGAGGCACTTGGTGAACATATCACCTTCAGGTAGCCACATAGAAGCGATCCGCCATGTTTGGCCCACGGGGAACCTCCGTGGTTACCAGCGTCGCCACCGAGGAGGCACATTGTCGGTTTGGGCATGGGTCATCNTATTTTTTTCAGAAATTAAAGTATTATTAACAGATAACCTCAGTAGTCATTTATCACCTGAGAAAATTGTTAATATTGCTAATAAGATCACTCAACAAATGGATGGTGATGTTTCTAACGTATTTCAACAAATGGTTATTAATCCAGTGACTGATCCTTCTGAAGGATCAGGTGCAAGTTCTCTTCATGATCCGGTGCCTGCACCTTCTAATGTTCCAATTCCTGGACCTTCAAAAGATGCAATTCCGGGATCTTCTGGAAATCCAAATCGTCAATTTCGACGTAATTATATACCCTATAAATCATTGTATGAATTAAATTATTTTTATTTTATTTATCACTTTTTTATTACTTTCATTTTTCAGCCAGAGGAACTCAAGCCGGCAAAAGCCGTTGTCATTTTTTTCACCAGAAGAAACAACTTTTCAAGAAGAGAAATAAATTTCTCCTTGACAAGAAGAGAAATAAATTTCTCCTTGACAAGCCAAATAAAAAGCAAAAGGACGACACCAAAGAAAACAATGGTCCAGTATTTAATTTCAATTTTACATATAGTAAATAATTTCAGTTTATATTTCAAAATTAAAATCAATAATTTATTTAAAATTCAAATTAATAATTTATAA